CTAGCCTCTGTTGAGGAAGCCTTCTCGTTGCGGTGTTTTCCTACCGACAGCCGACAGTTGGGGCCATAACCGGGTTGGTGAACCACTAGGGAGGTTGGCTAAAACCAATCAAGGGGAGGCATACGAACCACACCTACCCTGTTGTGGCAGTGGTCACCGGCTCGATTGGGCATCGTTTCAGTGGGCTAAGGTTGCAGAGAAATTGAGGATATGCATGAACGCCACTATTTACGACACTCAGCCATATCACTCAGTATCTCTAACCATCGGTTACGACCATCCCGAGGTCCCCAACCAGGGAGACTAACGAGATCTGTGTAACCCAGGCTCCTGATTAGGGTTTTCATACCCTTATGCCAGGTCTCGGCTTGACCACCCTTAGTTTTTTTTTCCACCTACTACCTGCCTCGGCAAACATCGCTTGCCGTGGAAACCTATTTGGTGACATGCGTAACACATGCCCCAACCAACGTAATCTATGGAGGTTGCCCACTTGCTCCAGTGGGCGACCGCAGTTCCCTAAAACTCTGCATCTAACCTCTGCATTGCTCGTCCTATTGCCCCATGTAGACGGCGGGGTTCAGAGCTCGACAGTCTATCTTTATCCTGTTTTCGTAATGGCTACGTTTCTGCACTGTATAGCAGAACTGGCTGAACTGCTCCAGCCTATACTCGACCCTTCACAGACAACTGGATGTCGCGACGGCGCCACAAATATCCCAAGTTGGCATATACCAATCGAGCCTTCTGTATGCAAGCTGACAATTCATCCGTGCTGCGTACACCGGGTGAGATGTAGCTGCCCAGATAACAAAACTTATCCACTTGCTCTATTAAATCCCCAGTTAAAGTGACCCTGGGTGCTGGACCAACCCAGTCTTGTAGCAACTTTTTACACGTTGAAGGTGCAAAACGCATAGCGAGCATGACTACACTGGCATTCAAGCTGTCCATAAAAGCTTGCAACTTACCTGGATCTTCACTCAATAGCACAATATCATCTGCATACTCTCGATCAGACAGCCTGCCACCTGGGAGTAAATCGATGCCACTATCCTCACGCGAGGATAGAACTGTTTCCGTAATCAGATATATAACAAAGTTAAATAGAAAAGGAGAAAGAAACTCTGGTTTAGATTAATAAAAAACTGTTTTTGTATATTTGTTTTCGGTATTTACGGTGAGTATTGGTTTCGTAAATCGTCCTGGTGGTGCTGAATGAATACTCTGATACTTGAGACTTATCTGCAAATCATTGGCCCGAAATCCACGCGTTTGCTAGCAGCTAGACATCGCGGTAATCAGAACCGATTGCTTAGTTAAGTATGATTTTTGAGCATGCTCGGGTTCGTCCGACTCCAGAATTGAGTTTATGAGTGCTTTTCTTCACATATCCTTTAACATACATACGTACAGCCTGATCGTTGGGACTTGTTTCTATGCAGACCAGTCACCGATTTGATAACAAGGCTAGAAACCAAGAGTGAAAGATGAACCATCACGGAAAATACTGCAGTGTTTAGTTACACCTAGTTCGCTCAAGTAAATATACAGACCGAAATAATCGGTCAGTTGTAACATTTTATTTTTGACCTTCACGTAATTAGCCTGAATGTAAGCAAAATAAAAGGTTTACCTGTGTGCAAGGCTGCTAGGATCGTTTGTGTAATTTATAAACATGATTCTCTATGAAGTGTATAAAGAAGCTCTCCATGCGTAAGCTATTCTTATACTCATCTCATGAATTGCCATCCTAATAGCTTAGAATTTTGTTATTCGCAGGTGTTTCATTTTTGTTACCTGGCATTATGTCCGATTGTACTTTGTATTTGTTATGGTAGATTGACTTGGTATGGTTCCTTGTTCGCTGTCTTGCTATTCCGACCCTGAAGTAAATCTTGGGCTACGCAGTTGGTGGAACTAGTGTCTTTTGTGATGGCACTATATCTTTGTGATTCCCCAAACAGAAGCATAATAACTATTCACAACAGCTTTTGATTCTGCCTGTGTAGTCGTAATGTATTATTAAAACCTATTAAATTAAATTGATCTGTGTGATCAAGCTTATGTCGGTCAAAATGATTATAATCACCACAAGATAATCGAGTAAAAAGACACCGCACCACAGAAAAGTACCCGCAGGAAGTTGAGTTTGCTAATTATACCCTAAAAGTTGTAGATAGGAAGGCAACAGTAGTAGAATAACTCTGCGTGTCTTGAAGCTTATGTGGAGACAGTATTGAGAATCGCAAGGAAAGTATAATCCGAGCAGGTACTTCGTCTGCCGAGTTTTTATCTTGAGACACTAAAGGATAATAAGGGACCAATACGGTGGAATTCTCTGTATGTTTACTTGAGATTTTACTTACGTAAATTTGATCTTAACTGTGGCTCAGTTGTCTTCCTCCTCATTTAGTTATTCCCACATCCTGTCCGCCTCATAAATTTGTATTTACTTCGCAGATCGACGTCTGCTCCACTTTATTTCACTGTACAGCAGTCATGATGGCCTAGAAAGGAATGCAAGTTGGCCATGCGTAATCTGGAAACAGACACTGTAGAAGTTGTGCAAACTCTGAGCAGTCGATTTACGGGAAACATGAAACTGATGTGAACAGGTAAAGCAAACTTTCGTGAAAAGGTGCTCCAGTTGTAACAAGAAGAAAAACAAACAAAATGGATACCCAAAAATGTGTTGGTATTTGCCAATTACAAGATTGTTTGATGTAACTTATTACCTTATGCGTCATTTGGTTGAGTAAGCAAGGTGTAGCCAACGAATGCAATATGAGTCGAAAACGAACCTAATTCACAGGAAATTGACCGAGGAATGACTAAATGGGTTGTAGAATGCTCTTTGTGACCGCAAAGTGGTATCTCGGAAAATTGAAAATGGCTCAAAATCAATTAAAATGCTTGAGCGACAATCTGATCTGGTCAGGCATGCGTTTTTGGTTGCCAGATGTCGTCAAATCCTATTTATTGTTTCGGAACGTTTTCTCGTTTAGAGTTCTTAAAATAACATTCGTTTTTTCAAGTCAGATGACTCCGAAAAACGTTGTTGCTTGTTCTGTTCGAGACCACTTGATTTTCGTACTTTCCCATGTAGCCTCCCGTGTCGACTCCAAACCTGTCACTGGATTCGCCGGACCCTAATATGCCTTCATCCTCGGACGCCTTATCCTCCTCCCGTTCTGGTCCAATCAGCGGATCAGCACCGGATGTAGCATGCGCGGGCGAAGTCGCTACAGCGTCTACTTCACTCCCTGTCCCCTGCTCTACACGGACTTCCGTGGTTGAGCGTGCTTCCATATCCGGTCCGTCTAATGTAACGGAACCAGGTGCCAGTTTGACTCCAGAGACAAACGGTGTCACCCAAAGTGTGGACGATAGCTCTGTCGAATTAGTTGAAGAGCCTCTTCCGCCGGGTTGGGATGAACGGAGAGATCAAAACGGTCGGACTTATTATATCGATCATGTGAATAAGAGAACCCAATGGGACCGACCTGTGTTGTGAGTTATTCACTATGGAGATGCAAAATCACACCAGTTGATTTGTGGACTTGATAACAGTTTTTATTTTGCAGAATTAATGACCTCACTTCAATGGAAAACTGTTCTACACATTTGTGTCCTTCGTTATCCGCGATATATGCCGCAGCGTCTCATTTTCCGTAATATTTCTAGTTATTTCTAATCTATCAGTTTGATTTTGAACCTGATGCAATTCTTTCTCCGGTTTATTTAGCCGCCCCAAATGTGAATCAAGTCTGTTTGCTTGTGCACGTATTTACTTTTTTTCCCGTGTCTCGTTTTTTCTTTATTGCTTGATCTAAAATACGCTCATACACGATTTGTTGAATAATCTGTCGGTGACAGACATCTTAGCTATTCCACGGGGTTACAATTTACGATCACCCGATCCGTGGGCATTTTTGGCTTACTCTATGACAAAGTATTCGTATGTCACTAAATTTTATTGTAGCGGTGCCATCAAATTTTCTGTCCATAAGGTTTATCACACTGGTATTTGATCATCTACGAATGCACATATGTGAACATTTAATTTGTTTCGTTTTCAGTGCTCCCACCACACTCACGAGCATGCAGATGTCGCTGTATTCACATGAGATTTCCATTTAAATGCAAAATGAGAAATTTTACCGGTTTACAGGATTTTTCTGACTCGAATCTTAGTGTCACTCTAGCTATGCATACTGAATCAGTGCATTCTCAGGTATCCTAATAAAATAAGGAAATTGTTATATGCCTTGTTTGACTTCAGTAATTAATTAGTATAGTGAAATTCTATCAAATTTTCATTTCATTTCTCCACACTTTCATCCAGTCAACTACCAGAAGGTTGGGAGCAACGCAGTGATACAAATGGTCGTGTGTACTATGTTGATCACATCAATCACGTGACCACTTGGTACCATCCACTATCAGAAGTAAGTATTCCGGTTTAATGTACAACTATGTATATCGGCTCATGCAGGTTTGTTGTCTCGTAGCTTAGTTGGAAGGTTGCGGCCGCATCCTTTTTAATCTCCAACAAGCAGTACATTCGATCAGGGTGGGTAATAGTAATCTTGTTAGTAACGCTGCTGTTATTAATATTGTCATTATTCCTAATATAATCATTGTCAGCACAAATACGGTGCAGTGAACGTCAATGGTCAGGAACAGGCTGATAATGCACCTGCGAAACTTGCAGGCTTAGGTTAAATGTGAAATAGGTCTTCTCCCTAGAGAAAAAAGGAATGAAGCTAATATAGCCGATAGTCAGTCAGTATGTGGTCTATTTTCATACATGCTCCTCTGCAAGCGGATAGACCCGAGATGGAATTATAAGAACGTCGCTGCTGTCGTTTCGCTGCCATTTTTGCAGCCACTTAGTTATCGAATATGAATCCAGTTGATAGAGAGGTGGGCAAGCTATTACGACATGTAGAGAATTTAATAAATTGTGCTCGAATCAGGCTTCCGTCGAAGTTTCCGGGATGACAGGCTGCGGCCCCAAAGATTCGGATTGTTGTTAGCTGAAAACACTGCGGAATTAACATGAAACTGAAGTCAGTCGCGTGAATTCACCCTTGCTGTCCTGCAATCCCAAAAGTAAAAACACAAGAAAAAGTCAAAAT